ATGGTTGGCCCATGGATGCTCTGCGGCAATGGATATGGTCTGATCCGGACGTGATCATGGTTGGCCCATGGATGCTCTGCGGCAATGGATATGGTCTGATCCGGACGTGATCATGGTCGGCCCATGGATGCTCTGCGGCAATGGATATGGTCTGATCCGGACGTGATCATGCTTGGCCCATGGATGCTCTGCGGCAATGGACATGGTCTGATCTGGACGTGATCATGGTTGGCCCACGGATGCTCTGCGGCAATGGATATGGTCGGATCGGGACGTGATCATGGTTGGCCCATGGATGCTCTGCAGCAATGGATATGGTCGGATCTGGACGTGGTCATGGTTGGCCCATGGATGCTCTGCGGCAATGGATATGGTCTGATCTGGACGTGATCATGGTTGGCCCATGGATGCTCTGCGGCAATGGATATGGTCTGATCCGGACGTGATCATGGTCGGCCCATGGATGCTCTGCGGCAATGGATATGGTCTGATTTGGATGTGATCATGGTTGGCCCACGGATGCTCTGCGGCAATGGATATGGTCTGATCTGGACGTGATCATGGTTGGCCCACGGATGCTCTGCGGCAATGGATATGGTTTGATCTGGACGTGGTCATGGTTGGCCCATGGATGCTCTGCAGCAATGGATATGGTCTGATCTGGACGTGGTCATGGTTGCCCATGGATGCTCTGCGGCAATGGATATGGTCTGATCTGGACGTGATCATGGTTGGCCCACGGATGCTCTGCGGCAATGGATATGGTCTGATCTGGACGTGATCATGGTTGGTCCATGGATGCTCTGCGGCAATGGATATGGTCTGATCTGGACGTGATCATGGTTGGCCCACGGATGCTCTGCGGCAATGGATATGGTCTCATCGGGACGTGATCATGGTTGGCCCATGGATGCTCTGCAGCAATGGATATGGTCTGATCTGGACGTGGTCATGGTTGGCCCATGGATGCTCTGCGGCAATGGATATGGTCTGATCTGGACGTGATCATGGTTGGCACACGGATGCTCTGCGGCAATGGATATGGTCTGATCTGGACGTGACATGGTTGGCCCACGGATGCTCTGCGGCAATGGATATGGTCTGATCTGGACGTGATCATGTTGGTCCATGGATGCTCTGCGGCAATGGATATGGTCTGATCTGGACGTGATCATGGTTGGCCCACGGATGCTCTGCGGCAATAGATATGGTCTGATCTGGACGTGATCATGGTTGGCCCATGGATGCTCTGCGGCAATGGATATGGTCTGATCTGTACGTGATCATGGTTGGCCCATGGATGCTCTGCGGCAATGGATATGGTTTGATCTGGACGTGATCATGGTTGGCCCATGGATGCTCTGCGGCAATGGATATGGTCTGATCTGGACGTGATCATGGTTGGCCCATGGATGCTCTGCGGCAATGGATATGGTCTGATCTGGACGTGATCATGATTGGCGCGGTAGACCATGGACGTCATTAGGGCTTGGACATGGATGTGCTCTTTCGAAATCGCAGTAGACCATGGGCGTCATTAGGTCTTGGACATGGATGCGCTGTTTCGAAATCGCAGTAGACCATGGACGTCATTAGGTCTTGGACATGGATGCGCTGTTGTGGACACGCCGGAACCACCGATGGCAGTGGTGTTTTCGGCAGGTGAACCGCCGTAGACCATGGACGTCATTAGGTCTTGGACATGGATGCGCTGTTGTGGACACGACGGAACCACCGATGGCAGTGGTGTTCTCGGCAGGTGAACCACACAAAACACCGCAAATACCGATGTTTCAGGCGCCACTAGAAACGTGGAAAAGGAAAACGCCGGAACCACCGATGACAGTGGTGTTCTCGGCATGTGACCCACGCAAAACACTGCAAATACCGGTGGAATTGGCACATGCAAAATGCGCGTTTACAGGTGGTCCGAGCCAACAACAACAACAGCAACAACAACAACCACAACTGCAACCATTACCACAACCTCAGCCACAACCACAACCGCGACCGCAACCACAACCACAACCACAGCCACAACAACACTAGCACTAACACCAACACCAACACCACACCAACACCACACCAACACCATCAACAGCAACAATAACAACAACAACAACAACAACAACAACAACAACAACAACAACAACAACAACAACAACAACAACAACAACAACAACAACAACAACAACAACAACAACAACAACAACAACAACAACAACAACAACAACAACAACAACAACAACAACAACAACAACAACAACAACAACAACAACAACAACAACAACAACAACAACAACAACAACAACAACAACAACAACAACAACAACAACAACAACAACAACAACAACAACAACAACAACAACAACAACAACAACAACAACAACAACAACAACAACAACAACATTTCATTCACACGCAGCGGGAGGATACTGTCTGAGGTGAAACTTAACGTCCACGCTTTGCGAGGGATCGACCTGCTGCTCTGCTTGCTACTTGCGCGGTCACTTCATGACGAGCCGTGCCTTAACACAGCACTCGCACACGCTCCGCCCCTCAAGGCTGCAAGCAATGAAGTCGGAATCGGACGTGTCGTCAGTGACTCGAGCTGCAGACGCTGGCACTAATGAGGGAGTTAACTGGCTGATTTGCAATGCATCGCTGACTGATTGGCGACGTCCATTTTGCACACTGCTGTCTCGCGAGAATGTCTAGCCTCGCTGTGAAGGCTCGGTACGAACCACTAGCTCTATGTTATAGTAGAGGCGGTGAGGCAATGAAACACTCAGTAAAGGCAGTCCAGGCGCCTTCCAGCCCGTTGTTGCTATTTGTAGATGGCGGAGCAACTCCTGCCGGACTTGTGCTGGTGACATGAAGCTCTCCTGTCCCTGGATGGGAGATCGTTGAGGTCACAGCCTTTGGCGGTGGTCCCAGGGGAGAAACTCCTCCCGGGACTCCACCTTTCGCTGGCACTCCTGGTGCCTTGCCTGGTCCCGGTGTCCAATCTGTGCTAGATCCACTTCCTGACAGGTTAACAGGCATCGGAGGCGGCGGGCCCTTAGGCCCAGCTGCTTTGGGGGCTGCTTTAGGGGCTGCTGTGTCTTCGGAGTCGGACTCCCGAATGGAGTCACTGGCTGGCGGCGACCTGGATAGGTGGGGCCGACGTCGCACTGGAGGAGGGGTTCGGGAGGTCGCTCTGTTGCCACTCTTCTTCGGTGTTTCAGGCATGGCTTCTACAGTCGAGACAGCTGGTGAGTTGAGCCTGTACGAGAAGGCAAGTAGAGCTTCCAGAAAACTTTTGGCTGACAACTCACTTGCAGATCCGGGCCCACGACTTCGCACGGAGCTTCACATGCGACCTCGGGGTATACTTGCTGTCTGGTGATGAAATTGAAGTGACCTTCAGCCTCATAACACAGATTTTTGCATGAGCAGCTGCATTATCAGTGTGGGGAGGGACTCCACCGTTAGGTGAGGGTCCTCACGATCAGAGCGGCCTGTTGTCGCCTCCGTACTTAGTACCTGATTTCAGGCTCTGGTAGTACTCTATGACAGAAGGGGGCACTTCAGAGGGGGTGAGAATGACGCCGTTCTTGCTACGGAAAAATTGCACCCCTACCTGCATGGCTCTGCGTGGATCGACCGCCACCAGCATCGACGAGCTATCTCTGAATCCAGAAACACCAGGTCTCCCATAGTCCCGATCCGAGACGAAGTGAACATGCTGTCGTCCCTCTCTGCCACGTCCGCCTTTGCCGCGGCCCTTGGAAATCTTGTTCTGAGGCAGAAGGCCTCGTTGGCGTATGGAGTCATACAAGGACCAGAATGTGCCATGATACAGCATTCTGGGGAGCATCTCCTCCGTGAGTTCCTCCAACACCTCATTGGAGTCCACATCAGAGCGAGAATGTCCTTGCAGAGCCCTGATGTAC